ACCTCTATCTGTATTAGGCTTAGGCGGTATAAATATGAAATCACTAAGTTGTGAAGTACACATTTTATTCTTACTTTCTGTGGTGCTGCTTTTATGCAGTATGAATTAAGTGTGACACTAATAGACGCTGATGTTATGGAAAGTATCTGAGATGTTATTGATAGTAATTGTAGTATAAAGGTGCAGAAAGAAAAGTGGATAAAAAGCTAACTTGTCATTGGAAGAGACCGAAGCTGCGACCTTTGAATATCGCGTCCTATGCTCTATCTACTGCGTTATTGTGGCAGCTGAGTCCTTCAGTGCTTTCCTGGTCATGAAACTACGCCCCTAGTTTCATGCAGGGACATCAGCCACCACTAGAGTCGTGGTTAACGTGGGGCCATCCATGAATGTGCTCTGCTTTTGGCTGAATGCAGTGCTGGTTTAAGGCAATGGTTTATCTTGCTTCAAACCGTAATAATTCAACTACCACTAATTCTTCACCTGACATACAATGTGACGGTTGCATACACACGTGAAAAACTTACTTTCACATACTTTATTTAGGATATCAAAGCTGCTGTGGATCCAGTCTTATTGGGCGCAGCAATATTCGCTTCATATGTTGTCCCAGCGGGGTTCCTTACCTCGGGCAGTAGAGCACAAGCGTATTTATTTAGGCACACTATATTTACTTGGACTTTTGACACTGCACAAGTCTTGTAAACCCACCAACTCGCAAAATGATGTGTCACAGCCTGTGCTGCTCGTGCCATTTAAAATCAGACCACCTATCCATTGATAGACTGCCGCATTAGAAAAAAAGGAGAGCTCTGCATTTTTGGTTTTCCAGTTTATAAAAGCTAACTTTACTCCCCTGCCGCCTATCAGTGGTGGGAAACATGAAGGAAGTAGGTGATCCCCAATGGTCCCATTTGAGAGTGGCATGTAGTCCATTGCTCGCCAAACTTCAGAATTTAAAATACCTTCCAAGCTGTATTAGCTGTTGATATTTTGCAGATTAAATATGCATATTCACGGGTATTGATTCTGCAGGCAATCTCATATGTGAAATTTTGTGTTGGTACGTCTTTAAGAATCAAAGGTAAATCAACAGCCTCCTGTCATGCTTTTGCGACTTCCCATTCATCCATCTTGTCACCGTCTCAATATAGGCAACTAAAAACACGCTTTCGCTCGTACATCTGTAGTCAGAGCGGCTACAGCATATCATGGGCACCGTCACTCTTGTACACTATCACTGTCCTTGCATACAATTATCACAACCGTGATAATTGTATGCAGAAAAGTGAGAAAAACTGAACTCCGATTCTGCAGATTTCTCCTTACGGAGCGCTCTTCCCGCTTCTCCCCCTCGCACTACTTGCGCCACTGTGCGGGCTACTGTGGCAACACGGCAAGCTCTTCCCGTAGCAATATGGAGGAGTTTTCGTAACCAGAAAAGCATTGAAGGTCTTTGATGGCGGTCATTTCTCATGGGTATATATGTGTATTGAGTGACCGCGACATCTTGGCTTACTATAACGAATTCAAAAACATACTAAGGGTTGAAAACTATCAAAGATCATGGGAAGGCTAATTACGATGCTATCAATGAATAACTTAAATTATTCCTTGATGCTTTTTCACCTGGTGTATTGGAGCACTCAGTGCAGAGCCATTGGAATATCTCTAAATCTACTGTTTCAAAACTAGTTCAGAAATACGTACCTATTTGTTGTATATCCTCCAACAGTAAAGCACCCTGGTACAATAGCTATGCATCTAAGCAGACTTTCTAACAAATAGAAACGATCATTTTGAAGGGCAAAACTTTCTCGAAAAGTGTCTGATTAGTTATCGTACAAAACGGTTGCTTCCTCCTACATTTCTGCTTGGAAATGTAGTCAATTCTTATTCTCTAATAGCACTCTTCCAAACATGCCTAAAACTAACCCGGAAGGCTTTTGAAATGTGCTTGAAAGCGACAGTGACCACCAATTAACGCTTTCGTATCCATCTGGTGACTCCGTGCAGAGATCTCTTACTGCCCAGGTATTGAATGGTACCTTCGTTGAATCATCTCATCTGCAAAAACGAATGAAATATCAAACTTTTCATGGTTCAGCTATCTGCCCATAGATTCAATTGGTTTTGACTCTCGACCTATTTCATTTACTTCAATTCTATGTAAAATTTTTGAGCATGTTATCTTCACGGATCTTTTGTCAATAATCGATAGGATAACAGCTTTTTCTCGACCTCGCTACATGACTTCGAAAATCCTTCTTCTGTGAGACCCAACTAATCACTTTCACAAACAACTTGCATGTATATTTTTACTCTGGTTTTTTGTAGGTTGTATTTTTTAGATTTTGCCAAAGCTTTCAGTAAAGTTAGTCACTCATTACTGTTGCATAAACTAAATGCTTCTAATATTTACCCTCAAATACTCTTTGGATTCGAGAATTTCTTTGTCTGTGTGCAGTACGCTACAGCCAATGGTTTTGACTTTTCATTGGCCCCAGTTGGTTCCAGTGTAACCCAAGGGTCTGTCCTTGGCCCTCCGTTATTTTTTATGTGTATTAATATGACTTGCTTACTAACATTTCTTCAGAATGCTTGTTTATTTGCATACGACTGTGTTATGTACCGAAAAATAACCAGTAATGAAGAAGTGATGTGATTACAAAATGATCTTGATATCGTAGCATAGTGGTGCCACATGTGGCACATGGAGATAAATGTTGCCAAGTGCAAGAACATGCATGTAATCTGGCGCGGTATCACTCCTCTGTCCGACTATCTGAACAATATTTCATTGGAACCGACTGCTTCTTATCGCTACCTTGGCGTTCACATTTGTAGTAACCTATTATGGAAACATTATGTTCATTACATAATAGCTAAAGTGAATCAAATATTAGGCTACATAAAAGAAAATCCTATCTTGCCCCACCGTCTCTAAAACTTTTGTTTTATACTACCAACGTCTCCCGTCAGCTAGAATACGCCTCATCTGTCTGTAACCAGCATCGCTCTGCTCGCTTTATTGCATGTAATTATAATTGCCGTGCTAGTGTCACAAATATGAGAACTGCTCTTAATCTTCCTTCTCTAGCAACCCGTAGAAAGCAATCGTGCATTTGTATTTTTCACAAAATTTACTACCATAACCTGCACTTACTTCCTTGTTTGAACACCCAACTACATTTTGCTCGCACAGTTATCATCACCATCATAAGGTTATCATACCATATTTGTCTACTACTGCAGCCTCTAACTCATTTGTTCCTAAGACAGCAGGAGATCGAAACCATTTACCTGCCTTCGTAACAGATATAACTGATACAACTGCATTTAAAAATGTCCTATCAAGCCTACTGCAACATGTTCTCTAATGTCCTTTATAAAAATTTTTTAATTCTGTAACTTTACTGTTATACTTTCTTTCTCTTTCTTTTCTTGTTAAGTACACTCAGCTCCCTCTAAAATTTATTTATACCTTGAGGGTATTATAAATAAATCTATAAATAAATACTGAAAATATCACAAACAAATCTTTTGCTGTCAGGGCTCCTTTAAAACTATCACTTGTTGAGCAATTGTTGATGGATTTGTTTCTACTAACATACCAGTGGTTTGGAGCAGGTGGATGAGACTTGCACCATCACTGTTTCTTTTTTTTTTTTTTTTTGAGGGCTCATTGGATATAGCACCTCACAGTGTAGCTTCATTTAACGACACAACGGGTAGCTGAGAGCTTTTTGACTCATCTGTTGCCCGCACTCAATGAGAATTGGGGTGTAAATGTAAGTGAGAATAGTGTGGGAGGGGTTTGTGTGTGTGTTTCAATGGCTGCATCGATAAACATGTGACGCAGGAAGCATTTTTAAACTACTTCCTGTAACATTTTTCTTGATCAAATTTGTAGTGCCCTGCGAGGTAAAAAGATCCTAATTAGAAAAATGATATTTTTTAGCAAAATACTTTTTATTATAACAGAAATGTGGCTCTTTCAGTGAGAAAGCTCTTGATAAAGTGGAAAATCTACAAGCAGAAAAGACAGGTGACATTGTTTTGAAGTGTCTGCACCATCTTGGCATGGTTTCATACATAGTGTGTTAGGGTCTATATAATTCCTCATTCGTAGTCAGGCTAATGATGAACATTCGGCCCCGCCGCAGTGGTCTAGTGGCTAAGGTACTAGGCTGCTGACCCGCAAGTCGGGGGATCGAGTCTTGGCTGCGGCGGCTGCATTTTCGATGGAGGCGATAATGCTGTATGCCGGTGTGCTCAGATTTAAGTGCACGTTAAAGAACCCCAGGTGGTCAAAATTTCGGAGCCCTCCATTACATTGTCTCTCATACTCATAAGGTGGTTTTGGGACGTTAATCCTCGCAATCATTATCGATGATGAACATTGGTAAAAATTCATAAGGATGGACAGTAATGCGATGGAAAGTATAGGGGATATTGTTGGAGGTAATGTAAATGTGAACAAAGAAAAGTTGACGAAAGATAACTTGGCCCCAGCAGGCGTTGAACCTGCGTCTTCCGAATAACGCATCAAATGATCTACCATCTGTCTACGGTGGCAATCATCCCTTCAACCACTTTATAGGGTATATATGTGCATTTAAGTGTGGGAAGGTCAGTCAGTGGTGCCTGTTGTCATTACGGCAAGTGTGGAACGCTTTTTTGCCTGTTGTAGGTAGCTAATGATGATTAGGTAATGTGTCATCTCTGCTGATTCTTGTGGATCTGAGGAATGCCAAAAGGCCCAGATAGGAGAAAAGACTGTTTCTTGGAATTTACAGGGCACCCAGAGCTTGTAGCGCTAAAGCATGCCGCATTTATCATTACGGCATTCTCAACTCATTGTCTTGACCTAATATGTGCGTCTACATAAAATTTTAGAAAGTTTTCAAAGTTGGTTATGGGGCTCTTTAATGCTGCCCACAAGCTCATTTTTTTTGCCTGTGTAGAGCTTCATGACATGTTTATCTGCTGCTGTCCAGGAGGATGGAGAAGTCTCAAGTACCGTCTCTACTAAGGCCGGCACTGGCACCGATGTGGAAGGTGGTCATGGCGTCACTGCTGGCTCGTTAGACAGTCCAGGCTGCATGGAACCTGGCTCCGATCGAGAGGACTTTGATGAAGAAATTGAATTGCATCCACGATTACACAGGGCTGACCTAGATGATGATAGCGGCATTAACAATAGCACATGTGGCCTGGAAGATGAGCTGGAGGATGGTCTTGATGAGGAAGATGATGATGGGGATTGTCTCAAAGGAGAGAGGCAGCAGGGCGATGGCGAGGTATGTTTTCCTTTGTTTATGTTGGGTGGGGCTAACACTGTAATGACATGTACAGTGTTAGTGGGATGTGTGCCCAGTAGGCCGACAGGTGTGTGTCCTTTAATGCTGATACGGATTTCTCGGTGTACCTTACTGCATATGAAACAGTGCAGGAACTGGATGAACAAAAGGCCAGTGCTTTATCCAAGTTTAGTGATGTTATTTGTGCACCAATTATCTTCACAGGTGAATCCTGCTGCGCTCAAACTGAAATTGAGAAAGCTGCATCTACCATGCTCTGAAGTAGTTGATCGGGCCAACAAAAGTTGAATGGCTTGAAACGCCACTTATCTCTATCACTAAAAGTGACCAGTGGTCGTTGAACAGCTTCATTGATAGCAAACTGGATCGTGCCAGGCTGCATCAAATCATGTGTTCTTGTATGTATTGTGCAATATTTTTTCTTCCAATAATTTTTATCAAAAGAATGCAGTTTGCTGTGTAAATTTTCTATATGGCAGGCATTGTAAAAACGAGCAAAGTTTTCTCTGAAGGTGAAGTTAGTTTTTAATGCCCAATTATTCGAACGTGCTTACAGCCTTGTGCCAGTAAAGAAAAATAATAATAAAATAGTGAGTGACTGCATTCATCATCAATATTCTCGCACTTGGTATGCTAATTTTGCAGTTAGTTCGGAGTATCCTTACAATGAAGCACCCACCTGATATTGAATCATTCCACACCAACTGTCTCAACCATTTTAACACCCATCTCAAATGAATTTGAATCGACCTGATTTCTTGCATTGAAAAAAGTGAATTACCACAATACATTGGAGCAATAATTATTTTGGTGACATCGGTGCTATCTGAATTTGATAGTTTGTCATCTGAATGTTGTTTGTCAGAAAATTTATTCTGAGGCAATCATTTCTCATTTCAGTACCATATTTGGTTCACATAGTAAACAAAAGTGCTTTTGTCAGGTATTTATAGCTCAATAATATTACTGCTATTTTTGTGTGATATATGCCTCCAGTAATTTTGTGAAAATGTTTTATGTTTGCATTTTTTTATCTTTTAGTACAGTAATCCCTTTTTAACTGGAAGCCGTCAAATCCGGAAAAAATTGCGAGATAAGCGGTATTTCGAGTTAAGCAAAACGCCCAGAAATGTTTGCCCAGGTCACTGCAAAATAACGCCAGTGTTGTCGGGAAAAGCCCCTCTGCACGAGAGAGCTACTGTAGTAAAGGCACAAGAATTTGCAGGGAAAAAGAATTCATTATCGAGGACCAAAAAACTGCGTGATGCTTGCCTGTTTCGCGTTTGGTTCGAGAAAGGCGTTTTCTAGTTGCTCAACACATCGCATGAGTCGTTGGTCGCCATCGCTGCATTCAACCTTGTTGCGGAACAAGTGCAGCATGTTAAATGTTTCTGTCGTCGTAGGCACTTCTCGGGGCTCGCCCTCTTCTGCGTGATCATTTGCGTTTTTCATGGCCATTTCAACGATATTCACTTGCGACAGCATACCGGTAACGGGGACGTCCGCCTCGTCGAGCGCGTACTCCTCATAGGCAATCTCGCCATCTTCAGTATCGCTCATGTAGCCAGTTGCCTTGTGTACTTCACTGCACAGCTCATCATAGCCGCTGAATTCTGCACCAATGTCTTCTTTGATCGATGCCGGGGCTCGAGAAAACCTTGCATAGCGATGCAGCAGGCAATCTCCAGCGGGCGGAGTTGACGCCAGGCTTCGGCCATCAGATTGACTGCATACAGCAGATTGATCTCGTACTTCTTCCCATTGTCGTATGGCAGCAGAATATAGTGCAGCAGGATTGTCCTATAATATTTCCAGGCCATCTCAATGACTGCGTGATCCATAGGCTGGAGAACGGACGTCATGCTTGGAAGCAAGAACTCCAGCGTAACAGCCGCCAAGTTGTCGATTTATCAGTGACCGGGGTTATCCACAGCAAACAACACTTTCCGACAGTCCTTAGCCATCTTTCGGTCAAGCGCACAGACATGCTCTTCGAAAAGCGCCGCCATCATTCAGGCTGTTTTATTTGCGCGGTTGGTCACATCCATCGGGAGCCGTGCATTTCGAAAACACTTGGGATTCAGCGACTTGCCATTGATGAGGAAGGGCAGCTTTTCATCGCCGGTAGCGATGGCACCAAAAAGAATGATAATCCTGTCTTTGCATTGCTTGGCACCTGAGCATGCTTCGCCTTTTGGTATGTAAGTGCGGTTAGGCAACATCTTATAAAAAAGAGCAGCTTTGTCGCGATTACAAATGTTTTCGTCCGCGTACCCTTTTCGTAGCGCGGCAAGGCGTAGGTTGCGCTATACGTCTGCAGCCTGTTCGTCGACAATGCCACTTTCGGCGTTAATAGGCTTCGATGACACGTTTGTTTTCTTAAAAAACCGCTCGAACCAGCCATTTCTGCAGCTGAAGTCCGTGTGACCCATTTGAAGTGCCAAAGCATCTGCTTTTTCTATCATCACTTCGGTGATCATTGGAAGATTGGCTGCTCTGTGATTGGCGACATTGGCTTCATTACCGTTTGTTAAAACCTGGCTTAGACAAATTGACGAGCTGCGGGCGGCGTCACATTTCCGAACGCCGAGTTGACGTCACTGCACGTGGAAGTAGGTTGGTCTTTCGTACGAAAGATGCGCAAGCTTGTTTGGGGGCTGTGAAAAAAAAAAAAATAAAAAATTGGAGCTTGTTGACTGCTTTTTAACACCATACAGGCCTTCCTCTGGAAGTCATTCTAACGTGTCTAAGCGATCCTGCTAAGCGATTCTGCCAAGTCCCTTTATCCTCGGTTATTATTTTGAATGGGTTGAAAATAATCTATGCTATCACCCTGTAGGCTGCTAGTGGCATCATTGTTGGATTGGCTCTGATCTCATTTGTGTGAGAAGTGGCATATTAAGTATTATAGCTGATTTGGTAGTGTTTTTTTTTTCTGCTAGACTTTCAGAATATTTCAGTGAAATGTTAAAGTGAGCATTATTACATCTCTCATAATGATTCCAGTATACTGCTCATTTGGCAGCATTTATGTTATATGCGGCTGTGGTTATTCCTGAAATGTGGGGCTCAGCTTTACCGGTTTGATTTCATTTCTGCTACAGATACTAGTATTGTAATTATATAGATCATAGCACATTTTTTGACAACCAGCCATTTTTTCGATTATTTTCTTTTTGAAGTTTACACTGATTTTCGTCTGTGAAATATACCGTAATTACTCGAATCTAACGTGCACCTTTTTTCCGGTTAAGCGAGTTCATAAATCGCATGCGTGTTAGAATCCAGTAAGAAAAAAAAAAATGAATATGGTCATTCTCTTGCCATCGGCATTTTCAAAATGGCCACCCCCTATGTGCGTCGGCATGGCGCGTTGGCCATTTCTGCCTATGTGTTTCCCATGTGCGGCCCTTCGTACGTGTACTGAAGCGGCACAGCGTCTTGTGACGACAGAACTGCTCCAAGTGCGGGCTATGCAGTTAGCCTTAGAAAAAGAGCTAATGCAGAACCAGTTTAAAGTGAGCAGGTGCTGGCTAACTAACTTTATGAAGAGGGAAGGCTTTTCCCTCCAAAGGCGAACGGGCATATGCGAAAAGTTTCCAGAGGAGTACGATGAAAATCTTCAGTTTTCAGAGGTTCGTCCTAAACTTGCGGCACAACAACGGCTACCTGCTTGGGCAAATTGGGAATGCCGATCAGACGCCTCTTTACTTCGACATGCCTGGCACCACAACTGTCAAGATGGGGGCGAAGCAAGTTCGCGTGCTGACATCGGTCCACGGTAATATTACAGTGAGGGCAATGCTCTGTTACACGTCAGATGGGCACTGTAACGAGCTGTATAGAGACAAAGCTCTAGACGAGACGCTCGTGTTTCTGTGCGGAAACCTGCGATGACTCAATCGTCATCGGGCAGTAACGAGGCCGTTTATGCAGTCACACAAAAAAATTTACTTACTAAAGACATGAAAGGTCTAATAATAAATAAAGTAAGGGCAAAAATATAACGTGCTTGGAATGCTGGTGTGAGAGTCACAAGGGCATAAAAACAGAAAGAGTTCACCGGAGAGGAGGGCGGTGGTCAAGTCCCGGCGGCAAACTCAATGCTGGGAAGAGACGGCCGACGCTTGGGTAGCCTGGTAAGTCCAATAACAGCCGCGGCCAAGAACGCGGCTCACTGCAGAGGTCGTTGACCCGGAGCACGCATGGCGTTTGCCATGCCTATCTCGAACGCTGGCTGGCGCTCGCTGCCGTAGGTGCCGGACTCGTCTGGCGGAAATGTCCTGGTGACGTTTCGCCCATGCCAGGCCCGAACTGCAAGGACGGCTGGTATGGCCCCAGGTGTGAGCCTGCTGAGACCTCGAGTCCGCAGCCCGATGGGTCACTGCTCCCACGCCCTGGTTCTTCAATCTTGCTTCTTCCTTCCAGCCACATCTGCCTCCCTCCTTCTTCTTCACCCCACTACCTGCCCTGATTTCTTTCCTGCGTCGTCTTCTTCGACTGTCTCTGTGGCGCGCACTTCAAACACAATTCTATCTTCACGATCACGCACGGCCACTTCACTCATCGCACATGCCCCTTCTTCGTAAAAATTTTTTTTTTTCTAATAAAAAACTTTCTAGCCACGTCTTAGTCGCAATCACCACGTGTCCGCACAAGACCACTGCACCGCACCAGTGAATAGATGTGATATATGTCCACAATAAATGATCACACACCCTCACACATAAAAACAAGAAAAAAAAATGTAGTCAGGCATGGCACGATGACTGTTTTCTTCTGGTGACTAAACCACGTGGTTCAGAAATACACATTGTAGACAAACTGTAAACCAGTTGCAATACACTTCCGTGAAAGCTTAGGTTACATTCTACTCACGAAATCGGCACCTGAATTATCTGAGCCTCTAATATGTTATAACATAAGAATACTCTTGTAATGCCAGACTCCAGCTCAGTACTCTGCTGTTCAGGTGTTTA